GGGAGGGAGGGAGGGAGGGAGGGAGGGACGGAGGGAGGGAGAAAGAATTACAGTATCACACACATACTATTGTCCTAGCACAAATAATTCAATGTATGACATTTTTGATGTCCAATCAAATCTTAAAGTGACTCCTTAAAGTTTTGTAAAACATTGTACTATAGAAGATTTTAAACATGTGCAAAAGTAATGACTTCTCCTGGATTCTTAATACTCACTTCAGAGTTTTTTATTTTTTTATAATAAAGTTTGAATTAGCTATTTTGTTCAAGTGTCAATTGCCCTGTGGTAAATATTCAGACAAATAAATACATTATGTGTGTGTGTGTGTGTGTGTGTGTGTGTGTGTGTGTATGTGTGTGTGTTGGGGAAACTTAATTCAGGCCTCAGCCATAGGGATGTTAGACAACAACAACAAAAATATATGTGTGTACACACACACACACACACCCCTCCCTCTTCCCTGCCAGACACAGACACATTACAGCCTTCACTGGGCACTTTGGAGCTCTAAACTGCACTCAAGTACTGTGCTGGGAAACCGTCTGAAACAAAAAGCACATACGTTTATGTAGCAGTAAGTAGGCTGTGAATAGGACACAGATTTGTATTCTGAAAACAGAAAGGTAAACTGTTACTTTGTTCAACCTTAGCTAGGACAGTACATGAATAGGTTTTTTTTTACTGATCTTCATGTATTCATAAAAGCAACAAAGGTTTTTATATTTTCTAGTGAGTAGACAAATACACACGTAATTCTCCACAAGTAATAAGGTTTGCCTGTATGTCTAGTTATATCTTGACTACTTAAAGTTATGAGACCCTGTGCCCTTATGGCAAACAGGGCCTCACTCTATTACCCTGGCTGGGCAGGAACTCACAGAGTTAGATCTTCCTGCTTTTGTTCCCCTAGTATTTGGATTAAAGGTGTGCACCACCACACTCAGCAATAGTTTCAGTGATATTAAATTGTGCTTATTTCTAAACACAGGTCCTACTTAGTAGCTTAAAGTTATTGAAGTGACTATAGCAGAAATCTTTTTTTTTTTTAGACTAAGCCTTGATTTTTATTACTTTAAAAAATGCAGATTTATTTTGCTTTCTGACTCTGTGCTTGTGCCTTCAACACTTTCACAACGATTTTCTACCCCTCAATAAGGAAAGCCCACTTGATCCTGTCGCGGACACACTTGGCACACATGGAGCCACCGTAGGCCCTAGCAGTAATCTTATAGTACCTAAAACACCCCCTCCTTCTGACTTCCCTAATAAAAACTGTACTCTCTGTAATCTTGCTGCTTCTCTTTAGTCTTGCAAATTTGCCAGGGAGATGAGGTGTGGGAAGGGCTAAACAATAGGATTAACTGTTTGCCTTGCCCTCTCCTCCCAGTATTGTCTATACTTCTCCTTATATTAGCTTCGTTCTATCAGTAGATATTGATATCTTGATATTAATGTTCTAGGAAACATGTATTCAATTGGCATGCTGTTAACTACAGTAAAAACGGGAGCATCTCAACCAATGTCAGATCTCACTTCAAATGAGACGCGGGTACAACTTAGGAGGTCATATATCTAGTCCTGGGCCTGTTAGTATCATAAGGAATTAGCCAGCTGATTAACATTTGTGTCATCAATACCAGAAAAGCCATTGATAGCCTCAACAGTAACATAAGATTCTAGAGAAGGACATGTTCCTCAGATAGAGACACTAGGGAAGTAAATATCAAATATCAGATTGATGCCTGTCTCTGTGTGTGTGCCTGCCTGCCTGCCTCTCCTACACCCCTCACTTGTCTGTCTGTCTGTCTGTCTGTCTGTCTGTCTGTCTGTCTTGGATGGTGGTGCATATGCATGTGTGTATCCCTGCAAATGCATGTACTTGTAGACATCAGAGATGAATGGCAGTTGTCTTTATCACTGTTCACCTTGTTTAGAGTCCGTAAGGCATCTCTTAATAATCATCAATGTAACCAAAGACTTATTATACAGCTTTTGCCTTCCATCAAAATTGATTTTACATATAGACATAGTAGCATATACCAGTGCTTGCTTAGAACAGTTGTGAGGTTGACATAAGAAGATCTAGAGAACCAGAAAACCTGGGCTACAACAGGCACTGTCTCAAAAAATAAACAGCAACATTTTTTTATTTTACTTTGAATATTATCCTTTAAGTATTTTCAGTGGTGGAATCACTATATTGGTGTATGTAGTGTAGTGGATATTATGTTTTCTATTCATGTATATGTGTATGTAATTTTAATAAAAGACTTATACGTCTTTCTTTTCTCCTTTGTTTCAAGTTGGTAAAATAATAGTTACTCGCTTTAATTTCCTTTGACTAGTGAGTACATTATAGACCCAAGGAATCCATACGATATTTTAAATGTTATAAGGTAAATGACTGAGTTTTAAGAAATGATTTGAAATTAAACCTTCTTCCTTTACCTCTTGAATGTATTTATGTCATAGGTACCCGCAAGATGTGGTGTTACAGTTCGAGACAGCCTAAAGAAAGCACTGATGATGAGAGGTCTCATCCCAGAGTGCTGCGCTGTTTACAGGATTCAGGATGGGTATGGTTTGTATGTGTTGTGTCATTTTCTTTAAAAGGAAATTTGGCATAAAGCTCTGGGTTTCTTTTGTAGTCTTTATGCAAATCTCTGGAATTGAGAATTAACTCAAGGACTGGAGAGGTCGCTCAGTACCCACATGGCAGCTCACAGCCATCTGTAATTCCCGTTCCAAGGGATCTAAAACCTTGTCTCCTCAAGTATGCCTGAGGTGCACAGACTTATATGCAGGCAGAACACCCGTACACATTAGAAAAAAAGAGGATATTTAGTACTAAAAGATTCAAAACATCAACTAAAAAAGTTGTACTAATATTACTCGTGACGAACTCTGAAAGGCTACTGATAATTTGTATGGTTATATTTTTTATTCCTGTGACAAATGCCTTTATTTGAGTTTCTAAGTTCTCTACTTTGTGAACAATTAGAACAACAGTTCTCAACCTTGGGGGTCAAATAATGCTTTCACACCCTGTGAAAACCTAAGACCACTGAAAATATAGATATTTACAGTATGATTCATTGCAGTAGAAAATTACATTTATGAGTAGCAACATAAATAATTTTATGGTTGAGGCTCACCACAATATGAAGAAGTATAATAAAGAGTCATAGCATTAGGAAGGTTGAGGACCACTACATTAGAATGTGATTTGTGTAGATACTGTGCGTTTCTATAGTCTTCCTTTTTAAATACAAGCTCATAGTTCTATGAAAAGTCTACCAAAATTTGCATTTTATATTGAAGCATCTTTTCATAAAGGATTATTGTTCTAAGATGGTTATGTTTTAAATCTGTATCTTGAGCCATGTTGTTCCTGGGATGGTCTTTTTCTCTCAATTGGATGATAAGACTGTACCTGTGTGTTTGCTTGTTTGTTTGTTTGCTTGTTTGTTTGTTTTTTAAACCCCAGGAACAATTTGGTTTTAACTGTTGTAGGTTTTTCTCGACTGACTTAAGAGTAAATATATTTATACTGCTCTTTGATTGAGAGTAATACATTTATTAAAGTTAAACTTAAAAATTAAGACTTTAATTTCTAATTAAAAAGTACAGAGCCAAACTTTCTTAATATTAGCTCCTCTGTAGCCATATTTGTATATGCACATATATATTGGGGTACAGTAATCAAGAAAGCTTTTTGCCTTCATTTTTTTCAGAGAGAAGAAACCAATTGGCTGGGACACTGATATTTCCTGGCTTACTGGAGAGGAGCTACATGTTGAAGTACTAGAGAATGTTCCACTTACAACACACAACTTTGTATGTATCGATTCATATTTGAATTGTCAAAACTGGTCAGCTTCATTTGAATTTTTTTTTAGAGAATATGAAATACTGATGAATAATTTTGTGACTGATAGTTGGCCTAAATTCTGTTCTTTAAAAGAGTTAATATTTATTATTCCTTTATAATTTAAAAGACATGTAGTATGTCTCTTAAAAGAACAAATAAAAAACAAATAAAATTAGTCTGATATAAAAGTCTATTAAAATGAAATTTTCCTAGAATCATCATTGTATAAATGAGTAGGTAATAGTATAGTTATCTATATACACAAATGCATGGCAGTAAGCACAGTTTACTTCCTTTTGACTTCATTACTTCCCATTCCTCTCTTAAGCAAAAATGGGGGTCATGCTGTATGATATTCTTCCTTTTAGTTTTCTCCTCAGTAGGTCTTGTGGGTGTTACTCTGTTCCAGTACAGCTAGCTTTATTCTTGTAATGATTGCCTAGTGGCCTATAAGAATAGAAATTGAAGCCTTTTCTCTATTTTTATTTTTATAAATTGTCATATGTAGAGTTAAACTGCATATATCTTGACATACATATTGTTTCCAGAGATTAAGGGTATGGACAGGAAAGTAACATTGGGTATTGAGCCCTCCTTGAGAGTTTATCTTGTGTTTTTTGCCTTTGGTAAAACCTAGCTTAAGTTTGCCACTAGCCTGCAACAGCCTCCTAACCATCCCCTACCCAACTAATACATCTTTATATATGCTTAGATTCTGTTCTAAGCTGAGAATAAGCTATGGTGAGAAGAAATAATAGATCTCTTGGGTCCATCTTTATTCATAAAGGTATCTCTCAGACATGGTTTGCATAAAATCCATACTCAAATGCATACCCAGTACCCTTTTACCCTTCCGTTCTGCTCTCCTCTATTTCTCTTCCTCTCCCCTGCACCACCCAACCCCCATGAGCACCTGTGTGTGTCTGTCTGTCTGTCTGTCTGTCTGTCTGTCTGTGTGTTATTTCCTGAGATAATGGTGCAGTACTAAAGATGGCTTAGTTTGGCAATTAAACATTGAAAGAGGTAATTTCTTACTTCTGTATGATCACAGGCAAATGGAAAAGAAGGAAAGCTAGTAACAAGCATTTGCTTTTTTTTCCACATGCTTTCTCAAGAGATGGGGGAACTGAAAAAAGCACAGCCCACTGTGTAAAAGTTCCTGAAAGGCCAGAATGGATTATGTGCCAGACTATAATTCTCAGTAGCTATTGATTAAATAAATATTTTTTGAAAATAGAATTCTGAATGGGGCAGAGTGGCACACTGGAAGCAGAGACACACAGCTGACTGGGAATTCAAGGACAGCCTGGACTACATAGTAAGGCCCTGTATCACAAAAATAAAAAGTTTGAGAGCAGATGTGGTTTTCCATACATGGAACTCTCCACTTCAGAGGCAGAAGCAAGAGGCTGGTTGAAAGACTAGCTTCTGTCACAAAACCATTTAAACAGAAAAAGAGATATGATTTGATGTTAAAATCAAATGTATTGTGAAAAACATTTATATGTAATAAAGGATATAAAATTCTAAGCTATGTTTGATATAAGTGCTGTTATGTAGGTTCAGATATAGATTAGGTCATAGTAAAAGAATACATTTCTTCAGTAAGTACTAGATTGAATTGGTAGGGAGAGAGTGGGCAGCCTTGTATAGTCCCTGATTTTTTTAGTGGGATTGCTTCAAGTTTCTCTCCATTTAGTTTGATGTTGGCTACTGGTTTGCTGTATATTGCTTTTACTATGTTTAGGTATGGGCTTTGAATTCCTGATCTTTCTAGGACTTTTACCATGAAGGGATGTTGAATTTTGTCAAATGCTTTCTGAGCATCTAGTGAGATGAGTATGTGGTTTTTTTCTTTGATTTTTGTTTATATAGTGGATTACATTGATAGATTTTCGTATATTGAACCATCCCTGCATTTCTGGGATAAAACCTACTTGATCATGATGGATGATTGTTTTGATGTGTTCTTGGATCCGGTTTGTGAGAATTATTGAGTGTTTTTGCATCGATATTCATAAGGGAGATTGGTCTGTAGTTCTCTTTCTTTGTTGAATCCTTGTGCGGTTTAGATATGAGCATAAATAGGAAAGGAAGAAGTCAAAATGTCACTATTTGCAGATGATATGATAGTATACTTAAGTGACCCCAAAACTTCCACCAGAGAACTCCTAAACCTGATAAACAACCTCAGCAAAGTGGCTGGATATAAAAATAGGGAAATGACATCCTTCACAATAGTCACAAATAATATAAAAGACCTTGGTGTGAATCTAACCAAGCAAGTGAAATATCTGTATAACAAGAGCTTCAAGTCTCTGAAGAAAGAAATCGAAGAAGATGAAAAGATCTCCCATGCTCATGGATTGGCAGGATTAATATAGTAAAAACAGCCATCTTGCCAAAAGCAATCTACAGATTCAATGCAATCCCCATCAAAATTCCAACTCAATTCTTCATAGAGATAGAAAGAGCAGTTTGCAAATTCATTTGGAATAACAAAAAACCCAGGATTGCAAAAACTATTCTCAACAATAAAAGAACTTCGAGAGGAATCACCATCTCTGACCTCAAGCTGTACTACAGAGCAATAATGTTAAAAACTGCATGGTATTGGTACAGAGACAGGCAGGAAGATCAATGGAAAGAATTGAAGACCCAGAAATGGACCCACACACCTATGGTAACTTGATCTTTGAGAAAGAAGCTAAAACTGTCCAGTAGAAAAAGGACAGCATTTTCAACAAATGGTGGTGGTTCAACCAGAGGTCTGCATGTAGAAGAATACAAATTGATCCATTCTTATCTCCTTGTACAAAGCTCAAGTCCAAGTGGATAAAGGACCTTCACATAAAACCAGATACACTGAAACTAGAAGAGAAGCTGGGGAAGAGCCTCGAATACTTGGGCACAGGGGAAATTTTCTTGAACAGAACATGAATGGCTTATGCTCTAAGATCAAGAATTGACAAATGAAACCTCATAAAATTGCAAAGCTTCTGTAAAGCAAAGGACACTGTCAGTAGGACAGAATAGCAACCAATAGCAACAGCTTGGAAAAAGATCTTTACCAATCCTCCATCTGATAGAGGGCTAATATCCAATATATACAAAGAACTCAAGAAATTAGACTCCAGACAACCAAATAACACTATTAAAAATGGGGTACAGAGCTAAACAAAGAATTCTCAACTGAGGAAACTTGAATGGCCAAGAAGCACCTAAAGAAATGTTCAGCATTCTTAGTCATCAGGGAAATGCAAATCAAAACAACCCTGAGATTCTACCTCACACCAGTCAGAATGGCTAAGATCAAAAACTCAGGTGACAGCAGATGCTGGCGAGGATGTGGAGAAAGAGGAACACTCCTCCATTGTTGGTGAGATTGCAAGCTTGTACAACCACTCTGGAAATCAGTCTGGCAGTTCCTCAGAAAATTGGACATAGCATTACCTGAGGACCCAGCTATACCACTCCTGGGCATATACCCAGAAGATGCTCCAACATGTAACAAGGACACATGTTCCACTATGTTCATAGCAGCCTTATTTATAATAGCCAGAAGCTGGAAAGAACCCAGATGTCCTTCAACAGAGGAATGGATACAGAAAATGTGGTACATTTACACAATGGAGTATTACTCAGCTATTAAAAACAATGAATTCATGAAATTCTTAGGTAAATGGATGGAACTAGAAAATATCATCTTGAGTGAGGTAACCCAACCACAAAAGAACACATATGGTATGTACTCACTGATAATTGGATATTAGCCTAAACGCTCACAATACCCAAGATACAACTCATAGACTACATGAATCTAATGAAGAAGGAAGAACAGTGTGGGTGCTTTGGTCCTTCTCAGAAGGAGTAATAAAATACTCATGGGAGCAAATATGAAGACAAAATGTGGGACAGAAACTGAAAGAGGGGTTGTCCAGAGGCTGCTCCACCTGGGTATCCTCTCATGTGCACTTACCAAAGGGCGACACTGATGTGAATGCCAGAAAGTGCATGCTGACAGGAGCCTGATATAGCTGTCTCCTTAGAGGTCTGCCAGAGCCTGACATATACAGCTAACCATTGAATTGATCATGGAGTTCCCAATAAGAGGAGTTAGAGAGAAGACTGAAGGAGCTGAAGGGGTTTGTGGCCCCATGGAGAGAGCAACAATACCAACCAACCAGAGCTCCCAAGGTCTAAACCACCAGCCTGGGAACACACATGGAGTGATCCATGGCTCCAGCTGTATATGTAGGGGAGGATGGCCTTGTTGGACATAGGTGGGAGAGGAGGTCTTTGGTCCCGTGAAGGCTGGATGCCCCAGTATGGGGGAATTTGAGGGTGGGGAGGTGGCAGTGAGTGGGTGGATGGGGGCACACCCTCATAGAAGCAGGAGGAGGGGGGATGGGATGGGGGTTTCTGGGTGGGGGAAAATGGAAATTGGATAACATCTGAAATGTAAATAAAATATCCAATAAAAAAATTAATTTCAAAAGAAAGAAAGAAAGAATTCATTTATTACTTATTGATTGTGGTTTTTAAAAAATGAAATCCAAGATGGTTGAAAATACAAAAACGTCGTCCTTGCTATCAACGTTCTGAATAGCCATTGTTAGGAGTTTCTCTGTTACATATTTTTCTGTCTATTACTTCCTTACTACAGCACATATACACTTTATATAATTTCTCCCTTTGGAAAGAAAGAGTTCCCTTAGTACACCACAATTTCTTTGATCTATGTTGTTTATTAAAAGTCACTGATAAATTTTTAATATTTTTGAACATTTGTTTATTTTGTTATATGCAGAAGCTTATCTGAAAACATAGACTAAAATATAAGTCCACATCAGACATTCTTCCTGAGGTGTCTTAGCAATATGTTAAAGTCTGAGGGCAGAAGTTTTCTTTCCTATAATCCCAATTTCAGACCTGAACTTTAAGAAGTTGCCAAATTTAACAGTAATATATCCTGTGTTACAAACAGTTCACTTCATAATTCTGTGGTCAGATAAAACAATCCCCACTATACCTTAATAAAATTACAATGTAGATTTTGTGAAACCATTGATAACTTTTAATAGTTTCTCTTTTAAGCTCTTGGGTAATTATTTTCACATTGCTAAATATCATTTGCCATGATTTTTGCTTTATCAACTTTAGACCTCATATGCTGATTGCTGACAAGGAGTAGCTGGTTTGCAGGATTATCACCCTTTTGCTCCTCCCTTTCATCTTGCTGTTCTGCTTGAGAACTGAGGTTAAATAAGTCTACTTTTGTTTCTTGCACTGTCAGCACTAGCAGCCACTTTCCTTAGCTTCCTCTTTGGGTAGGAATTGAATGATAGCTTTCGCTAGTCCTTTTACCTGTAGCTCTTTTTGTACTTTTACTTTTTTTATGCTTTCAAGCTTGAAATCAGTTATTCTTTTTAATTCAGGTTTTTTTTTTAAATTTTTTTGAGAATTGCTTGCATGAGTAAGTCCCTTTAAATGTTGCTTGTCCATTTGAAATTGGATAACAAATATGTCAGGGTCTCTGTTCTTTTATTTGTTGTACGTCTTGATTTCTGAGTTTTATGTTGGTTAGGATAGGATAGTATTTCAAATCCCCTGGTTTTAATATTGTATTTTGATATGTGACTTTTTATGATATAAATGTACTTAAAAATTGTTATTTTAAGTAAGTGAGTGACTGTGTTGTTTATAAAAAGGATTCTTGCAAGTATCTGAAACCCTGTATGATTTTCACTTTGCAGGTACGGAAAACTTTTTTCACCTTAGCATTTTGTGACTTTTGCCGAAAGCTGCTTTTCCAGGGTTTCCGCTGTCAAACATGTGGTTATAAATTTCACCAGCGTTGTAGTACAGAGGTTCCACTGATGTGTGTTAATTATGACCAACTTGAGTAAGTAATCCACAAAGAACCTCTTTACTATTACTTTATAGTTAAATTTTCTTAATATGGAATTAGCCCACTTTGAAAGTCATGAGGGCCATTTTGCCCAATGCACTTGTTAAAGACAATGTAAAGGAACGAGTATTCCAAGCAGCTCTCCTCTCTCAGATGATGAGCACTGGCTCTGGCACACATAAAGTTTTCACTTCGTGTTCTTTTTTACGTAACAACTACTCGTCCTTAGAAATCACTTTTCTATAGTTTGGAGTGGATATAGAATACTGTTTCAGTCGACTATTGTCTTTCTGGACAATGAGTCTGATTCTGCGACCTATTTTACCAATTATGTTGATTTTTCTCCCTCATTCTTCACCTCACCCAACCCATGTCTGACTATTTCATCTTTTCCCTGTTCCCTTTATTTAAGGGAATACTTATACTCAATTTATTTCTTTCTAAAATTTCCTTTTTCCTTTATTTTATGTCTAATAGATATTCTAGATGGTATCTATTATACAGTAATCTTTCTCTATAATTCTTTTTGTTGCTGCTGAAAAGGAATTTGACTTTAAAATTAATTATAATTATATATCCAACTTAGCAGCTACCGAGGAGGCAGAGGCAGGTGGATCTCTGTAAGTTCAAGACCACCCTGGTTCACACAGTGAGTTCCAGGGTTACACAGTAAATCTGTCTCAGAAAAAACAAAAAGGATAATCTAACTTACCACTAGGTATTTTTCTTCTACTTTTTAAACTAGATGATTTTTCTCCCTGTGATATGTAGAAATTGACTGAAAAGAACAATTAGTTTTAGATCTGAGCATGCCCTTGAAAGTACAAAGAAACCTTTCCACAAAAATATATGTAATTGAACTTTAACAGTTGTTTCTAAAAGTAAAATTGATCCCACATTTTCTCACTACTTCTGTGTTCTCGTGTATTGAAGCTTCTGGGTTTTGCACAAGTTAGGTTTGTTTTGTTTTGTTTTGTTTTTGCCTCACAGTTTGCTGTTTGTCTCCAAGTTCTTTGAGCATCACCCAGTACCACAGGAGGAGGCCTCCTTAGCAGAGACTGCCCTTCCATCTGGATCCTCTTCTGCACCCCCCTCAGACTCTACTGGGTATGATTTGATTCTTGCTGTTTAATGATATGCTAATTGAACTGCCTTTCTTTGGATCTTTTGTATAATTATAAACCTTTTTAACACTGAAACTATTAAATTATAGATACTGTCTCCCAATAATGTATACTATCACTAATGTGTATTATCACAGCATTGAAGCATTCACATGCATTTGGTACAGAGTGAGATTAAAAGCCTGGTATTAGAGCAGGTCACACCTTTAATCCTAGCACTCAAGAGGCTGAAGCAGCAGATCTGTGAGTGGAGCCTGCCCTGGTCTACACAGTGAGTTACTGTCTTGAAACACACCCACATATGCGAGATCAATCAATCAATCAATCAATCACTTGTAGACTGTTTTAAGATCAATTGTGTAGAAAGTCAATATAAAATTCTTATGCCCTGTCTTTTATTGACCGTTTTATCAGGTAATGTTATGACTTCTCCTTAAGAAACATTAACATATGAATTGATAATTTTCAAACTACAAGTCATAGTAGAGTATATTAAACTTTGTGGTAAGAACATAAATATTTTATATTTATAAAATGCAAGAAAATAGGTTGTACTCAAGAAAGCTTAGTAGAGTTGTGATTTGAACTGATCTTTAAAGAATTGCTGGCTATTACATGGAGAAACCCTGTCTAAAAAAAAAAAAAAAAAGAGGGAGAGGGAGGGGGGGGGGGGGGGGGGGGGGGATGGGGAGGGAGGTGGAGGGAGAGAATGAATTGCTGGAAACTGAATGAAGTCAGGTAGTCAGAGCGAGTGTTAGGGTTTAGAGAAGAGAGCAGGTTTCAGAGCTAGTAACAAAGCTTACCTAAGTTTATAAGTAGTATGTAAGAGACTGATATGGTAAACACGTCTAAAAATCCCAGCACGCTAGAGGCTGAAGCAGCAAGGTGGTGAGTTTGAGCCTAACCTTTGCTACAGAGTGAGACCATAATCTCAGATAACAACAAAAGGTTGGAAGAAGGAAAGTGCCGTATGTGAGACCAGGTAGTAGAGAATCTTGACATTTTAGCTGGTATTTACTTGAGATGTGAAAACGGGGAGAATAAAGGTTTTCAAACAAGTTACCAATGTGATAAAAATGATTTTGAAGGGAAAATTTACTTAGCAGAGAAATACAGATGGACAGGGAAAGCCTAAGGTGAAGAAGACATCTAAACCTAAAGTTGAGGGGGCAGAAGGCAGAAAAGCAGGGTGTTCACAGAGGACGAGGGGAGGTGTAACCGTACTGTCAGTTTAGGAGGAAAGCAAACATTTACTCTGAAAGTATCTCCAAGGCATTACATTCATAGTAGAAAAAGAGACAGTAATTTAAGTTGGCTCTGGAATATTTTTGTAGAGGTCTGTTAGGCGTTTCCCATTGTGTTAAGGCAAGATTATTTATGCTATGTCTGGAAGTATATTTTTACAAAGAAAAGTTTCTCTGGGTGGTGGCAGCACACACCTTTGATCCCAGCACTTTGGAGTCAGAGACAGATGGATCTCTGTGAGCTCAAGGCTAGCCTGTTCTACAGAGCTAACTCCAGGATAGCTAGGGCTACACAGAGAAACTCTATCTTGGGAACAAAGAGTAGGGGAGGGGAAAAGAGGGGAAGAGAAATTTCCAGATAGCACTCTGACCTACAATAGTTCTGAAATGTTTAGTGTACAGGTATTTGTTTTACTATTACCTTCGTCCTCCTATTCTTCACGGTATGTTATTTCCTTAGGCCCCCAAAAACTTATTTATTTATTTATTATTTATTTATTTATTTATTTATTTATTTATTTATTTGGCAGTGATATATGTGTGTTTGTGTATGTATGATATACCATATTGCATGTGTACCTCTGCACAGGGACAACTTTCATGACTCAGTTCTCTCCTTCCACTGTGGAACCAGGGATCACTTGGGTGATCAATCTTTAATGACAATTACACACACAGTCATCTTGCTAGCCCTTCTTTCTTTAGACTTACACATTAAAGAATGATAACATTAAGTTGATACCTATAGTAGACCTGCAATTTTTATTGCAGGCTTGCAATCTAGTTGAAAGAACTTGAGTTCCAGGATCCAGGAGAGATCCTTCCTCAAATAAGACAGAAAGCACTAGAGAAGGCTCCCTGGTACCCTCCTCCTCCACCACACGTAGAATTGGAATGTGTGTGAGATGAAAGGGCTTAATAGGTAAGAGTGCTTGCCATAGGAGTATGCAAATTTGACAGAGGTCAGATGTGGTGCAGCTACAATCCCAGCTTTCCTATAACAGGTAGAAGATCATCAAATTACAGAAGTCTACACAACATAGCAGTAACAAGACACTTACCTCAAAAATAGGTAGAAGGAGAACTGACTCCACAAAATTTGTTTTCTTACCTCCATGTGTGCATCATGGCATGCACATACCTGCAAACAAGCACAGTAATAATCATCATCATAATATTATTATTATCTTTTTATATCACTAGAAACTACAACAACTATGTAGTGTTGTCAGGTTCTAACAGTTATCACTGATGGCTCTGCCATTAGTTGTATGATTTTTGTTTTTTAGATGACTAAATCAAAATAATGTTTAGAATTTTAATTAATCCTTTGGCTATCAAGTCTCCTAACAGAATCTGTAGATCTGTGATGCTTTTCTAATGACAGATGCCAGTTCTGTGAACAGAGATACAGAATATAAAATTAGCTTGACCTCTCTGAAGGGTCATGATGGTAACAGTATAGATTGTCTTCTAGTGAAGGGTTGCTATTTCAAAATTAAGAGAGCATTTGCCTCTGCCACGTGTATTTTTTCTTAACTAGAGTGAAATGGATCTGGTTTTGAAAAATGTGCAAGCTCCTCTGTAAGTTCATTTCCCAATGCTTTTATGTCACTGTGTAAAATTACCTTTGTAAAAGTAGAAGCCAATTAGTCAAGGTTCTCTAGAGGAACATAATTTGTATAATGTTTGTATATATATACATATATATATGTATATATATACACACGCATATATATAGACACACATACACACAGAGACACACATACATATGGGGATTTACTAGAATGGCTTTCAAACTATGGTCTAGCTAGTATAACAATGGCTGTCTACCAATGGAAGGTCCAACAATCCAGTAGCCGTTCAGTCCGTGAGGCTGGATGTCCCTACTGGTCTTCAGTGTATGCCAGGATCCTGAAGAAGTAGGTTCTAATGCCAGTGAAGGAATGAACTCGCTAGTGAGAGTGAGAGCAAGCAAGAAAAAGAGAGCAAGCTTCCCTGTCCTTTGTCTAGGCTGCCAGAAGAAGGTGTGGCCAGATGAGAGGTGGATCTTGTCATCTCAAAAGATCTAGATTTAAAGAGTGTATCTTTCTACCTCAAAGATCCAGGTTAGAATGAGTCTTCCCACTTCAGATAGTTTAGTTAAGAAAAAAGATCCCTCACAGGTTCAATTTCAGATGGAGTCAAGTTGATAACCAAAAATAGACATTAGATCAGTTCTGTTCAATATCACAATATTTGATTTGTTGCTTGTTAGTGCAATTTAAAAAGTGATAGTATTTCTTTTTCCTGGCTAGCTTGCAAATAAATGAGACGGACTATAAGATTTATTTAATCAAGCTTTACAGCACGACACCTGAGCATTTATTAATCTATTTTAATCCTCCAAGCTAATCTGGCTACCTTCCAGCCAAAATCCCCAAGACACTTGTATTTTACTATGGATGTGATCCTCTGCTCCGGGTGTATTCCCTTGGTGTCCCTCAACTCTCCTCAGGGCTGGATCCTCCTTCTCCTCTTCCTTTTCCCCCCTCCCATCTCTGGAATCAGAAGTCCAGCCCTACTCTCTCCTCTGCTCAGCCATTGGCTAATCAGCTTTTATTGACAAATAAGAGGATAAGTAGGAACAATGTTTACACAACACTGAGTCAGGAGATACTGAGACTAAGCATTACAGTGCCATATCTGGATTAACTATGGGGACAGAAAAATCAGTATTTGAATAATACAAGGATAGTCTTTACACAGTGCTCAGCAACTTGCCTACAGTTACTAGTTCTGACAACAATTGTAACAGTCCTAAAGCAAGTATGGGCATGCCAAGAAGTTTTGCAAAATTAATACATTACCCAGTTTAGAATATAAAGAAATAATTACTTTTCTGTTTATCACTGAACAGAAGCTCACTTTGCTTTAAAAAATTTTAAATAGTGTAACCTAAAACTTAAGTCAAAATTATAGTAGTTTTCTAAAGAGCATTAGAATTAAAATTCTGTTTATTTTTAATTTAAATTTTTTTAATTTTTAATTTTAGAAACGTTTGTGGCAGAGTCAGTACAAATATATATACCTCTGGGAGAAAGCCAATTATGTGATAGCCAAGGTGCTGTCACCTAATAGCCATAGGTTAGTTATAAATTACTTACTTCAAGGAAAGATTCCACAGTATGCAGATACAGTTTTATCAGTTCCCAAAGTGATGACAATTGGGAATATACTGGTTTAAGTTGAGAAAAATCAGAACAGAGAATATACATGCTACCTAATCCAGACTTGTGTAAGGTGGCCCACTCTTCTTTGGAAAGACAGTAATGAGAAGCCAAATTATAATTAGAGGATTGTTTTTGTTAAGCATTGAAATAAAGCATTGTACAGATAGGTATAGTAGTGAAATACTGCTCACAGTTATCATATACTTGCCTTCAAGGGTAGAGAAGTTAACCTTTACCCGGGCATACCTTCACCCTCCAAATGGTATTAATACGTCATGTGGGTTTTGTGTGACAAGCCCTCTTCTTTTACCAGATTAAATACAGGGTTTTGTTTCAAGTTGTTTCTGAGTCACTGTCCTTTGTAAACAGAGTTCTGATTTGTTATCCAGTTCATATTTCTGTCATAGTTTTTACTCAGTACATTTCAGGAGTAGTTCATTGCCTCTCTACCAATGCTAGGTCACATATTATATTAATTAGACTGTTCTGTACATTCTAGTTAATTCAGGCTTTCCCAGATTTTAATCCTGAATTAAAGGGCACTATTGTCCTAAGACTGGAAGTAGCTTAACAGTTTTTATTTCTGAATACTTATTAACTAATAATATTTTTGTAATTTTTAAATATTCAAAAATTCCTTAACAAAGAACTTTTTATTTCTATTCTTATTTAGCTTTATAAAGCAAGAATAAGGACAGCTTTGACAAAAACTCAGAATTTCTCCATAACCAGATGAAACATAACTTTCCTCAAATCCAGTTCCATTAATTGTAATTGGGCTTATGCCCATTTCTTTTAGAGAATAATGTTTATATCCTGTTCATTTAAACAGATTCATACATGTAGTTAATATGAATGATGACATGCTTTATTTCAAAGATTTTTGTCACTTTTAAGCTTTGCTCTCCAAATCTTTATTCTACCCTTTTCTATTACTTTTTTATTAACTTTTTATTATATGTATTTAATATGATTGTGTGCATATGTGTGTGCACTCACGCACGTGCTGAGACACCTTTGTGGAAGTCAGAAGACAGCTTTGGAGAACAGAGTCTCCTTCCACCATCTCGGTTCCAGGGATCAATCCCAGGTCATCAGGCTTAGTAGCAAGGACCTTTCTATCCACTGAGTGATCTTGCTGGCCCATCTTATTATATTTTATTACCATTCTTTTATAATTTTCCTTGTTATCTCAACATTGCCTTTCTTGTCTAATAAGAACTAAATAATGCTGGTTAGCTTTTATAATATTGAGCTAAATGGTGACCAGTATGTGAAGAGAACTTGGTCCATGCTGGACTTTGCATGGCCAGTTGAAGCTTAGCTAAGCCTTACTGGATCCTCCCCTGAGTGGTAATCACTGCCCTGCTCCTAAGAATCTCTTCTGAAGGAGCTGCAATCTTTATAGGAGTTTATAATCTAGCCTCAAAGTTCTAGTGTTCTTCATGCCAAGCTCTTTAGGCCAGCACTCATAGATTCTATTATCTATAGCAAAAATGTTAATTAATTAATTAATAAGTCATTCTCTAACCTATTAAAGTATTTTAATCAAAATAATTTTAGGGCTGGGAAGATGACTCAGTGGCTAAAGTCCTTGTCATAAAACCTTGAGGACTTGAGTTTGGATCCCCATTGCCCACCTAAAAATTGAGTTGTGACTGTCCTTGAAACCCATGACCCCAGTGTTGAAGGATATTTGATCACACTTTGAACCCTAAAATTGTATTATTTACTGGAAGGAAAAAAAAAACTGTTTGTAGTTGTGGTGTGGCTTAGCCCTTAGCACACATCTTTAGTCCCAAACAATGAAGGTAAAGTTAATTTGTAGAAGGAAGCACCTATGTTTGAAAGTGATGTCTAATTGAGTGGCAGACAAAGTGATGAAAGATTTGACAGAATAGAATATGCCCAACTTGAGACATTCTTGCCCAGATTACCTGCAGTTTCCTGCGTCAGCTGTTCTTGAACAGAACTGGGTGCTCCACCCCTCTGATCCCAGTTGGCCTCTGAGCCTGAGCACTTTGCAACTGTGTTGCTCTGCTGCACCTTACCCTGCTGCTGCCATGACCACTGCTTCTCCCACCAAAGTGTTGCCAGAACTACCATCAGGATTAGGAGGCTGCCATCAACCGTCAGAACAAGTTGGAATTATATGCCTCCTATATCTATCTGTCTATGTCTTGCTGTTTTGACCGGGATAATGTTGCTCTGAAGAACTTTACCAAATACTTTCTCTACCAGTCTCATGAGGAGAGAGAACGTGATGAAAAGCTGATGAAGCTGTAGAACCAATAAGGTGGCTGCACCTTCCTGCAGGATATAAAGAAATCAGACTGTGATGCCTGGGAGAGCAGGCTGAATGCAATGGAGTGTGCACTACACTTGGAAAGAGTGTGACTCAGGCACAACTAGAACTGTACAAACTGACTACTGACAAGAATGAGCCCCTCTTATGTGACTTCATTGAGATTCATTACTACCTGAGTGAGCAGATGAAATCCATCAAAGATCAGGGTGACCAGATGCCCAACTTATGCAAGATGGTAGCCCCTGAAACTGGCATGGCAGAATATCTCTTTGTCAAGCACACCCTGGGACACAGTTATGAGAGCTAAGCTGACTTCCCCAAAGCCATGTGACTTTACTGGTCACTGAGGCAGTGCATATAGGTTGGGCTGCCTTTATCTTTTCTATAAGTTGCACCAAAACATCTGTCTTGAGTTCTTTAAATTGTACCATTTCTTCAAATAACGAATTTTGGTACCTTCCCTACACTCCCAAAAAACAGTATGTCCAACTCACAGGAGAAAATAGGAAAAAGAGACTAGTTAAGAGAGCAGCACATAGGAAAAGGAAGGAGGCAGTTCACCAGGACAGTTGTAAAGAGGTAGGTTGCAGAAAGAGAACAAGTTTGACCAGGTGACAACAGAATGAGCCAGAGAATGAGAAAGAGCCAGAAAATCAGAACATTTTGCCAAAGTTAGTATGAGTTCAAGCAGAACAATTCAGAAGAGGCTGAGAGAGAAGCCAGATTGAATCAGTCAGCTTGGAGAAAAGTTGTGAATCGAAACACCTGAATTGAACCAGTCAGCTAGAGTTCAGAAAGAACTAGGAAGGAGTGAGCTTATTCAGCAGTAAATCTTGGAGACTGAATACATTCAAGGCCTATATAAGATTGTATGGAGGCTAGAAGCCTCCATGACTAGGCAGGCCTAGGTTAGCAGACTGAGGCAGTGAGCCTCAGAGAAAATTTCTTCAGGGGAATAAAAGATACTTTTACGCCCTAATCCTGGGAAGACAGAGATAAGATTTTTGAAGTTTGCTGGCCATCAGTCTAACAAATTGTAAATTCTAGCTTCAGTGAGAAGATCCTGTTTCAACAAAATACAGTGGAGATGAAGCACTTGACACCAGTTTCTGGCTTCCATGTGCACCTCACAACCACAATACCCCAAATGTTTTTAGTTATTTTAAATGTTTGCTTCAGTGTTTAATATTATATGGTTCTCTTTTTTTGTCTCTGGTGTTAATAATTAGACATAAAAAACATTTTTGAAATATGAAAGATAGATTATCTTCTAAAATTTTGGAGATGGTATTTGTTACTATAAAAATTTCATTCAATACTGGTGTTAAGTAGCAATTCTATCTTTAGGGCCCTAAAATGTACATGTATATTTTCAAAACTATTTGTAACTTCCCAACTACCTTCTTCAAATTTTTATTTGAGTAACTTTAGATTATGAAAAATAGTATATAAGAAAACAGCGTATTTTATTCAGCTAGTCTCTACCTGAAGCATTTTAATTCTGTATATAATTTTAAAGGATAAGAGCTTCTACTGATTAACCACAGGTACTTTCTAGCCATTTGTAGATTCCGCGGGAGTTTCTGGATCAGAATCGTTGTTCTTATCGTTGATAGTCCCTGGAAGGTCTGCTTTTAGCAAAGCTTTGATAGTACTAGTTGTAGCTATGTTTTTTTTAAGACCAATGCTTTTTGTAAAGTTATTACTACTAGAACTGTGTTTCTTTAAAGCTTATCATTTTAAATACAACAATCATAACTTTCATTGTAAGTATTATTATTAATATAATTGCTCCAAACCTTATCTTCACAATGACTTGGTTTTTCCAGGCCCCAAATCCTCACCAGTCCATCTCCTTCAAAATCCATTCCAATTCCACAGCCCTTCCGACCAGCAGATGAAGACCATCGCAATCAGTTTGGGCAACGAGACCGGTCCTCCTCAGCTCCCAATGTTCATATAAACACAATTGAGCCTGTCAATATCGATGTAAGTACTAGCATTGCTAGAACTAAACAATTTGAATATGTTTCTCTGGTTTTCTATCGTACTTTTACTACAGATTGGAAGTAAATGCCACTTTTCATTTACGTGTAAATGCTAGACTCATACATTATAGATTCAAACACCCTATCATGTTCTCTAATAATAGTAAGTATTCACTAGTGCCGAGTTACTGTTATTCTCATTTTTTTCTATGACACTATCTCTATTTTAGTTTAGTTTTAAACTAAAATGACTTTATTTTAATTTAAATTTAAGAATTTGAATTTAAGAATTAATAGATGCCTTGCGAATTTATGAATCCTCTTAAGATTTTTGTGCAACTAATGGGTTATGAAAATGACAATAAGAATTTGTATTTGTTCTGTCATGAGTTTGGCATTAGAACCAACAAAAACAGTTCTGAGCTTATATTTTAAAAAAATCTTACAGTTGGAACTATAACTAAAATTTTATTAACTTTCAAAATGATTTATTATAAATTACATTTAATTACCAAAATAAATCATGAATAAAGGATTATAAAATCAGACTTTCTTCCTATTTTTTATTAGATTCCCTCCCTATATTTTGGAGAGTAAGTTCATATAAGTAGCTTTTTCCTAGTGCCCTTTTTAACTAAGGCCTTTCTCTCTCTATGTAGACCTGAACACACAGGAAGAGAGAAGTGGGAGAGGGAGATGTGGGAGTAAGGAGCTTGGAGAATAAGGAGTCAACGGTCTTTGTAGGTTAGGTGTGTTCTCGGTGTGTTCGAGCTTGGAGCTTCACCTTTATTTGAAAACAAATAGCCTTTTAAAGTTGTTGCCCTTTCTCTGCTTGTGACTATCCTCCTGCTTTCTTGGGCTTGGCTAGTCGAAGAATCACTTTGTGCCTTACTCTTTTATCCTTTTCATAACTTTCATAACTGTTTTCTTTCCCCTTTATGTCTCAGCCTCTGCTGACTTACTGACACCATTTGCCTCCATATTCCTTCATTTGAACATCTGAATTCATCTATTCCTACCATTAATTGTTCTTTACCCATTTCCACCCTGGTGCTCTCACCAGGATAATTTTTTATAATACTTTTATCATCTGTTCTCTTGTCTGAAAGCTGTTAATGACTTAAAATTTTTATTCCTGCTCAGTCACTTTTTATTATCTGATTACACATCTTAATGAGAGACACATGACCAAGATAACTCTTACAAAAGAAAGTATTTAACTGGGGGCTTGCTTACAGTTTCAGAGGTTTACTCCATTTTCATCACTATGGGAGCATGGTGACATGCAGGCAGGTTCTGAAGCAGTAGTTAAAAGCATTACATCTTGATATGCAGAGAGATCAAGAGAGAGACAGGGAGAATAGTTTTAGTCTGGTGTGTGCTTTTGACACTTCAAAGCCTACCCCTAGTGACAAACACACTTCCTCCAACAAGGCTACTTCCTGGTGACCAAGCATTCAAATATTATGAACATATAGGAACAATTCTTATTCAAACCACCACATAAAACAACATAGTAGATGGAAGCCAACCAGGTAGTATGGTATGCACCTCTAGTCTTGGCACTGAGAACTATAAAGGCACTAGAGGATCAGGAGTTGGAAGCTAGCCTAGGACACACGGTACCCTGAAGAGTGAGGGAGGAAGGGGAAAATGAATGAATTTAGAGATGACAGCTGATACTACTTGTGCAGATGTTCATAGATAACAAAGGTATTGCCAGAAGTTCTTTGGGGTTGGTTTCTTCTGTGATGCTGAATCACAGGGATGACAGACCAGGGACTAGAAGAGATTAGGGAACAGTTGAAATCGTAGAAATACTAGAATAGCCTATTTAATGTAGATCAAATAGCTAGATGAACATATGAAATTGAGAAGTGTAAACGTGTTAGCCGTGGCAGGAGTTTCTAGGAGTGGGAAAGCCACATTCGGCTCATCTGTAGGTGTGGGAGGTTTCCAAGCTAGGATAGGAAACAGGAAAGGGTGTAAGTGTTCTTCTGTGGAGCCTTCTGTCTAGAAAGCCCCTTGCTTTTCTACATGCCTGTCTATTCTTCACAGCCCTGACTCAGGTTTCTTCAGTTGCTTCACTAATGCGAAAATCCTCGTGTCATTTCTTTTGCACTATAGCACCAATTCTCACAGATCTGGAGGCTAGAAGCCCTGTGTCAGATTGCCAAATCATCATAGTCTTAATGTATGTCACTAAAAGTCTTGTCAATACCACCACTTTTTAAATGGTAGTAAATTATAACAAACTGATGTAGCTCTCTTTTTTCTTAAACGGTTACTTATTGTTCATGTGCCTACATCTGAGTGTGTTTGTAAGCTCTGAAACCACAGAAAGGTAGTGAAAACACCAAGACTTTTATGTGTTGAAGGGTTCTATGTCATACACCAGTAAATAATTCACTCTTTATTTTAATAAGCAAAATGGTGCCTATTTACAACTAACCTTTTTAGAAACATTAGTGGCCTTTCAATCCCTCACACTTAAACTGAGTAAACTAATCTAGGTTCTGTAGACTAGGATCCCAATTTCATCACATACGGAATTTCCCTTCCTGCCAATAACTATTGTAAAAGCTGCATTAAATAACAGAGACTAGTTTAAACAGAACCCTTATTTGAGCTATTTTGATCTCCCCTCCTTTTTAATATTTCTTGTACATCCACATTTTTATGGTAGTATTCAGTGTGCTTTTAATTTTGTATTTTTTATTATATGTAAACATGTTTCATGTTTTAAGTCTCATAATTGTTTGGTAACTGTATACTACTTCATTAAATTGATACACCATAACCATAATATGTCAAAATGCCTATCATAGGGAAATAATTATTTCTGATTTTTGGTGTGATGGATAATGCTGCACTAAACATCTTTGTGCATATCATTTTTTCTTCTGAATTATTTCCTTAGGAAAAATTCCCAGAAGTGGAATTACAGGATCAAAGGGTATGAACATTTTTATGGCTCTTAATATGTGCCAGTAGAATTTTCTTTAAGGATTTATGAAGCCACTGAGTGGCCTGAAATGGATTTCAGCATTTGACCAGGACTAATAATCCTTTCACATAGGTCTAGGTTGGCAAGTGCTTCAAACTTTAGTGTTTGTCATGTACAGTAGCTAATTTAATAGTCTTTGCTTTGTGAAATAATTATAAGACAGGTATTGTTTTGAATTAACCCTTCTGCCTATTCATAGTAGAAAACTTGTTGTTATTGTTGTTATTGTTATTACTTTTTTTACCATGAGCTTTGAATAAACATATTTTACTGTTTGTTTGTAGGATTTGATTAGAGACCAGGGGTTTCGTGGTGATGGAGGTAAGTAGTGATTTTAGGGTTGTTATTTTGTTTTGTTTTGTTTTTGTTGTTGTTTTAAGGCAAAAATGCAATTGCTTTGCTGCTTGTCTCCTTTATGGTTGCTTTTTTTTTTTTTTTTTTTCATGAAACAGACACAGAGAAAAATGTGTAGAGAAAACCAAATGGGTTTTTGGTTTTTTGTGTGTGTTTTTTTTTAATATAGTAGTTATCATTTACTGGTAGCAGAATTTAAAATTATACATAACAAGGAGAAAACGTGAGAAGGCATGGAAGAAAGTCTTAAATGCTTCCCTTCCAATCTTAGGTTCTCCACCAAGGAGGGTCCTTAATTGTTTTATCCACTTTTCAATTTTTGCTGCCTCCAATGCTGGAGTCACTAAGTTTCTTTTGGCCTACAGTAAATACAGATCGAGCTTAGAATCAGATTAAATCGTTCTGTATCGTTCTTTGGGATTGCATACCACATCTCAATTTGTCAGACTTTATAAAGCATTTCCCATCCACTTTCTAGAACTATTTGAAATATACATTGATTTCATGGAATGGACCCATAATGGAAAACTTTAGTCTTGCCCTTATTGGTATAGTAAAGAAAGTATACAAATGAGCGATTGTATTAAAGATTTCTTACAGGATTCCCATCTATCTAGCTTTTCCTCTAGCAAAGATAATTTTAAGAAAATGCTTTTTGAGCCAAATGTGATAGTATATGCCTGTGATCCTAGCTGAGGCAAGAAGAACATGAGTTTGAGGCTAGCCCAGTGTACATAGCGTGGCTTTCTCAAAAGACAAAACAAGCAAACTCTGTATAGTGGACCCTACATGTTTCCTAAGAGATGGCATTTGAGACTGTCTTCACATTGTCTTGCACGAGGTCCTCTGTGCTTACCTTCTCAGCTGCCTTCTGTCTTACAAGGAAGACTGTTAGCTGTACACCATGCCTAGAGCTGGGTTCTTCACTGTGACCTTCTGTATCTTCAAAATAGGTCCAAGCCCACCCAGACTCAATATTTTTATCCTGAGTAAACATTGTAAGCCATATTTTGTTATGGTTCTGTATTCCTCTCAAGATACCAGATAGCAAGCCTAAATTATGTAATTAATACTGACTTTATCACATATTCAAGAGTTTGTGTTGTTTGTTATTCCATGAGCCTGCCAATTAATGTTGCTGCCAGTTTGACTTTCATATGTCTTAGTAACTGTGGCTGCTGACAATTTTGCCCAGTACATCCAGCATTTAAATGTTTCCATCATGTTAGCATCACAGTTAACTTAGTAGTAAACAGCCTGCTTAGTACCTAAAGTCAAGTGGCATTTCTTGTTCTTGTAATGAGTCACTTTGAAAAAATTCATTGGGGTTTTTGTGAAAATATAAGCAGATTTTTAAAATATCATCCAGAATTATTTTGTGAAGCAGGCTTCAGCTCATCTAATTTATTCCCCATGACTTCTTTCATTTCTTCTGTGTGTCTGTCTTCCTGTGTTTGCCTGCCCCTCTCTTTCTCTTCTAACAGCCCCCTTGAACCAGCTGATGCGCTGTCTTCGGAAATACCAATCCCGGACTCCCAGCCCCCTCCTCCATTCTGTCCCCAGTGAAATAGTGTTTGATTTTGAGCCTGGCCCAGTGTTCAGAGGTAGTTGGGCTCTTCTTTCTTGTTCTCACCCAAGCAAACTAAATATAGATAGAGACTCTGTTTGTGCCTCACCCTCACAGCGTGTGTTTGTAAGTGTGAGAGTTTGAAGTACTAAATCTCTGCTTGGCCTGGCTGGAATGCTCTGAATGTGCTTCTCACATACTCACCACTGCAAGCTTCCTGTATGCTGTTGATTACAAATTTTTAAAAGCAAGACATTTCTGAGTTGGGATTTCCATCTTGCTTACTGTTGTCTTATTTCTGCTTGGTCTTGAAAACTTCTTAAATTCTGGGAGACACAGGCAGGATTCTTTTTATTTAGTGCATTGGATGATAATTTTCGATTAAGTAATATTAATATTGTTTAAGAGAATAAAAATATATATGGAAACCCCTATGAAAAAGTTTTATATTGGGCATATGGCTCACATCTGTAACCTCAGCACTTGAGATGCAGAGGCAGGAAGAAAATCACTGCAGGTTTGAGGCCAAAGAATTCTTATGAGACTTTTGACAGTGTTTTGAAATTTAGTAGTATTAATAATTTTTTGTTCTATTTTCCCCTTATATTTGATATATATTTAATTAATCTATAAACATGAGTTCAGAAAAACTGAATTTATATGTTGACTTATGCCCCTCATGTAAGGAAGTTAATAATTTAACTGTCCCATAGTTTACCATGTCATATTTTAATTTACTGTTAAATTGACTAAAATTTTAAGATAAAATTAAATATCTTTTTACAAATATTTTTACTGCTTTGATACACGTAGTGACATCTACTTAATATAATGATGGTGCTTTAGAGTTTTCCATCAGCCCAGCTATTTTTCAGACAAGCCATAAATATAGTGGAAGTCATTCAGTACTTAGTGACGTAATTAACTAATCCAATACATGAGAACTGCCTGAGGCCTGGGAAGCTGGTACTGCTTTAAAATGGGGAACGTCCTCAGTGAGCAGTAGAAATGTACTATGCTCTAGTTAAAAGAAAGTCTGGACACCGTTTTCTTTTAGAAAATTGCATATGCAGTCATAGAACTTTCATATGGTGCTATAACATAATGTAGTACCTGTAAAACATCTGTCCAGATTTAGCATTTAAATACTGTCATTTGTATTCTTGCTGCTTGAAAGACCCTCTTTTTTTTTTTTTAACCCTTGAGAATAGTGTTTTTTAGAAGTTTTTCTCAGCTGCATATGAAAATTCTACCAAGAAATCTCAGGCCTTATTCACTGTGTACTCTGGGGAGTCGTTGTTCTAAACTCCTCTGTCCCAGATACTGTACATATTGCTACTGAGTAACTGTAAGTTTACATATTAGAAAAGCTCCATTTCTGCTGATCTCAGCCTACTTACAAAGTTCAGCTGGCTTATAAAATACTAGAATATATCTGAAATATGGATGAGATGCCATAGCATTTACTTGTTTACCCTTATAATAGCAAGTTGTCAGAAAGTCTTCAAGCCTATGTAGTGGGGCTGGGAGGATAGCTCATCAGTTTACAGACACTGGCTGTTTCTCCACAGGACTCAGGTTCCCTTGCCAGCACCCACATGACAGCTCACTGCTCTCTGTGACTCTGGCTTCAGGAGTTCTGACATCTTCACACGCATACACATGCAGGCAAAGCACCAATGCACATGAAATAAAAATAAATAGTTTTTCAAAAAGAGAGCCTACTTAGCTTTGTTTATATTAACTTTGCAATAAAGGTAACAAATAACATTTAATAGAAAAAAACCCTCAAGAACCACTGACACTGCTCACCATCTCTTAAACAATAAATATAAATGTAAGACTAATAGGAAAGAAATATTTAACAGGAAGGCCATTAAGATGATTCAGTTTTAATGTTTACATATTTTTAAAATATTAAGGCTACTGAAATAATACAAAGTAAATTTGTTTTATAGAAATTTGCATTGAGGTATAAAAGCAAAAATGAGAAGGAGGGATGGGATAGGGAGCTGGGGGGGACGGTGATGAAAGAGGATAACATCTGAAATGTAAATAAAGTATCCAATAAAAAAAAGAAATTTACATTTATTTTGTTGTTGAGTTTTTGTTAGTTTTTTTCTGTGTTTTATCACACAGGGTTTTTGTATTATTGGACTCTGGCTTTCCTGGAATTCTCTTTGTAGACCAGGCTGGCCCCAAATGCAGAGATTTACCTGCCGCTGCCTCCCAAGTGCTAGGATTAAAGGTGTGTGGTACCATGCCTGTGCATTGGTTGTGATGTTTTAATTTTTCTATCAAAGGCACAGGAACTTGGGAGTGAATTTTAGAAATTGTGACTTGGTTTAGAGATTGTATTTTTCTAAAATTGTTTATTATTATCTATTTTAAAGGTCATTAAATTGGCCAAAAAAAACTAAAAAAAAAAGACTGTACTAATTACATACCATGCCTCTTTTGGCCTGCCCTTTACTAGGGGCCAGTATTTAAACATGTGCTCCATCTTAAAGTGAGTCTACATCTCCCCACTTTCTGCCCCTGTTATGTGGACATATTTGCTCCTCCTCCTTAATGCTGACTCCTCCTTGATGTGGGTAATTTCCCCTTCTTCTAACTTAGGGTCAACCACAGGCTTGTCGGCCACCCCACCTGCCTCCTTACCTGGCTCACTCACTAACGTGAAAGCCTTACAGAAATCTCCAGGGCCTCAGCGGGAACGGAAGTCATCCTCATCCTCCTCTTCGGAAGACAGAAGTCGGATGGTAAGGCTCTGGGCTCTGCTCTTCCTGTAACTGGGCCTCTGAATTGTAAGAACACTGGGTGACACAAGGGTCTCGTCACATTCAAAAGTTAATAGGTTTTTGCATAAAGTATAGTCACACAAAACTGACTTTTGCTCTGGTTTCTAATATAATTGTTGAGGCCGTTTTGAAAGGGAAGTAATAGTGTTCTGTTCCTGTGCTAAGGAGAAAGAAAGCATGATTAAGCATCTAAGGCATATGTGTTCTAGAAGCTGACTCAGAATTCACGTGGCTACCAACCGACAGTCTTCCACAGTAAGAAGTAACTTTCTTCCACTTCTACCTTACCAAAACAATTGGTTGGTTTGTTTGTTTATTTTTGATGGCCAAATCAGTTAAGACATGTAGGGAAATCCAGTACCAATAGTTATAGCATGTTAACTTAAATTTTCGGCACTTGAAGCCAAAACTAGCCACGAATGTATAATTATTATCATCCCTCTGTAGTTCTCCAAATAGTTAAAAAGCCTTTTTTTTTAAAAAGAATAACAATATGTATTTCTACACATAGTAAATTCTTCCTATTTTTAACTTTTTAATGAGTATTATTTTGTGTTTATGGGTGTTTGACGCATGTGTAAGTACAGCAGCATGTACATGCCCAGTGGTGAAGGAGGTCAGAAGAGTGCAATGGATCTCCTGGAACTAGAGTTATAGATGAGTGTGAGCTGTCAGCTGGGTGCTGGGACTTGAACCTGCGTCCTCTGGAATAAAAGCCACTGCCCCTAACTTCTGAACTATCTGTCCATCCCCAATTATTTCTATTTTTAAGTAATTATTCCATCCTTGTATTGGCTCAGTTTAAATTTAATTTTATATTTTGAGTCACGAGTATAACTATTACTTCTTCAACATGGATATTTCTTCTTCTTTTCCTTCTCCTCCTTCTTCTCTTCCTTCTCTTCCTCCTCCTCCTCCTCTTCCTCCTCCTCCTCCTCCTTCTTCTTCTTCTTTTTCCTCTTCCTCCTCTTCTTCTTCCTCCTCCTCTTCCTCTTCTTCTTTTTTTTTTTGGAAGACCTTGCTCTGTTCCTAACTTTCTGTCAGGTAGGTCAATATATTTAGCATGAAACATTAAGGTTTTTCTCCTTTGTTTGCCTTGTCCTGACTTTTACACTTTATTTTTTGAGAAAACACTTGGTAGAAGAGACTCAAGTGATGATTGGGAGATTCCTGATGGACAGATTACAGTGGGACAGAGAATTGGATCCGGGTCGTTTGGAACTGTCTACAAGGGAAAGTGGCATGGTATGTATGTAATACGGTGCCATTGGCACAAGTGGGACATGGTATGTATGTAATATGGTGCCATTGGCACAAGTGGGATATGTTAAGAAATGTTTATTTAAAAAAAAAAAAGCCAAATATGGGGGTAATGGCACATATCCTTAACCCCAGCACTCAAGAGACAGAGGCAAGTAGATCTGAGTTCAAGGCCAGCCTGGTCTACAGAGAAAGTATAGTACAAACAGGGCTATACAAAGAAATGTCTTGGGGAGGAACAGTAGGTATGATGATACACACTCCTGTATTCCCAGCACTTAGGAGGTATCAGCACTTAGAAGGTATCAGCATGAGGGTTAGGAGTTCAAGCGCATCATTAGCTATGGAGAAAGTTCAAGGCCAATTTGAGTGACAAGAGGTTGTCTCAAAAACAAATATGAAGTCAAAAGATTCACTCTTTGCATTGTTAAACTGTTTTCATCAAGTGCAGGAGTCCTCCAAAGGTTTCTAACAAAACTGGTGGACCATAAAAACTGGCTTCAGAGTAGCCAAGATTGCTGTCAGTACTTTACAGTAATGATTCAGAAAGACAGAGATCATCAAGCTATTAGTCCCAAAGGAAGTTCATTTTTCTTTTAGAAGTATTCCTTTTGATGATTTTATGGGTATTATAAATCACAAGTAAATGTAAAAAGTGCTTAGCCTCACTACTTTTCTAAGAATTACAAACTCAAAAGATAGAAGTCATGACTTTCCTTAAACACAGATTTTTTTTAAATTGATCATGTGAAGATTGTAATTATAATCCCGTTCATTTTGTGGAAATATGAAAGGTTGGTGGTATGTACACTCAGCCTAGGCAAGTAAGTGGACAGCAATGAATAGGCCGATGTTTGGGAAAGTATACTCAATAAAGGCATAGCAGTAATAGAAAATGAAAATAACTCAAGTACTTACTAGTAGAAGAGTCAGTTAGAACATCAACACATCTATATATGGTTATATAAGAATCAAAATTACATAACAGAACTACATTGATATGGAAAGGTTTTTAATATATTGAGTTGTTTGAAACAGCATGTGTAATGCCTTATATTAAAGAGATATATAATGCATTTAACAGTAAAAAAATACTATCTGAATCTCTCAAGTTTATTTCATATGCATTCATAAGTTTTATACTGTGTATATATATAAGTATGTATATATGCATACATATACACACATATTTACTAAGGTTATTTCTGAGTACCATAGCTAGGGAGATTTTTTTAACGACTTATTTATGAATATGAGTGCTCTATTTCCATGCATGCCTGCATGACAAAAGACAGCAACAGATCCCATTATAGATGGTTGTGTTCCATCATGTGGTTGCTGAGAATTGAAATCAAGACCTGGAAGAGTAGCCAGTTCTCTTAACTAAGCCATCTCTCCAGCTCCTATGGGGAACCTTTATGTTTTCCTGAAACATTTAAGCACTGTTATGTGGTATCTGATAAAATTAATGCTATAGTACTTTGGTTGTTAAGAAAAATCAAGATTTATAGTGGTCATGTTAAAATTCATTAAAATGTCTATAAGTGTTCAGGTAATTGAAACTCAGCAACTGAATGAATACATTTGTGATTAGTAAGTGTAATATTATCATTAGCCTTCTAGAAGCTCTCCACATGCCCTCTTCATACTCACCTTGCAAAGACAGTTAACATCCTGACTTCAAAAGAATATAGTGTACAATCTTTCTCCCAATATTTCAAGATCCATTGATGTTGTTGAGTGTGTTTGTGTGTCATTTGCCCTCTGAATACTATTCCATTGTGTGAGTGAAATGTGATTCCTTCCATCTGTGGGATAATAAGCATTTGGGTACTTACCACTTGATGCAATTCTGAATGATGTTGCTGCTTATATTTTTAGTATATGTCTTTTAAAGAACATCTGTGTATATTTTTACTGGCTATATGCCTAGGAGAGAATTTTAGTACTATGCCATATGCATACTTGCAATTTTATGTATTCTCCCATCAGTGCTGCCAAGTAATTATACCAGTTTACATATCCACTAGATGTGTGTAAAACACTAGAAGTGTTTACACTATGATTATAAGTTTAATAATTTTCCATTTCACATAAGTAAGCCATAACTTTTGAAAAAAAATTGGCAAGTTTCTATTTTAAGCCAAGTTGCATTGGACCTCCTGTTCTGTTGTTCATGGTTTGAGCGCTTACTTGGTAAGTAGCACCTCAGTCAACGTTAAATCATTAGGAGAATTCTGAGGACTTAGGTACCTAAGCTGTATCCCCAGGGTGAGGACGTTCGCTGTATTTTAGATAATATTTTCAAATAGTAGTATAGGAATGTCATTGTTAGTTGTTCTGTGTGGGATTGAAGGATATATGCACCCCACAGTATGTATTAAAAAGAAAAAAAGTAGTTTATTACTAGGTAGTTAAATATAATTTATTTACAGTTTAGTAATGATATGTATTGAAAACTGACAAGTAGCAAAAAACCCAAGAATAAATGTTTCATATTTTACAAGTTGAAATTTTGGAGTAACACTTTTCTTTCAGGCGATGTGGCAGTGAAAATGTTGAATGTGACAGCACCCACACCTCAACAGTTACAGGCCTTCAAAAATGAAGTAGGAGTACTCAGGTGAGCGGAGATCACAGCTTCCAAGTGGGTTGACTTAAAGACACAAAATGTGCCTACTTAGAGTTTATGTTTATATTATTCTCCTGATATGTACTGTCGTTTGGTCCTGGAGCTAGAAGACAAGACTGAATTAATGGAAATTAAAAATGTCTGATTGTGTATAATACTAGTTCCTTTTAGGAAAGTAATACTCTAAAAATTCTAAATGTATTAAACACATTTAAAATTGTATTTAGTCCTAGGCCCTGGGACTTGAGGACCATTGACAAATGAGAGTAAATCCATGATAAGAAAACTTAGGCCAGGCTGTGGTGGCGCACGCCTTTAATCCCAGCACTTGGGAGGCAGAGGCAGGCGGATTTCTGAGTCCAAGACTAGCCTCGTCTACAGAGTGAGTTCCGGGACAGCCAGGGCTACACAGAGAAACCCTGTCTCGAAAAAAAACAAAAACAAACAAACAAACAAAAAACAAACAAAAACAAAACAAAAAACTTGGGGCTGGAGAGATGGCTCAGAGGTTAAGAGCACTGACTGCTCTTCCAGAGGTCCTGAGTTCAATTCCCAGCAACCACATGGTGGCTCACAACCATCTATAGTGGGATCTGATGCCCTCTTCTGGTGTGTCTGAAGACAGCAACAGTGTACTCATATACATAGAATAAATAAATAAAATTTAAAAAAATAAAAGAAAGAAAAAAAGAAAACTTATACAGGGAGGATTCTGTAGTTACAATTTTATATACAAGGGAAATGTTCAACAAAACTGAGATTTTAGTCCAGAGAAGGCTGTTGTATTCAAGAGGGTACATAGTTACTCTGATATTGTAAAGAATAGAACGAGGAAGCTAGTTGTAGAGGTTAGAGGAAAATGGTTTTACTTCCACATAGAAAACTTCCTAATAAGTTTGGAACAACTTAAACAAATGAAAGCAACCTCTGCTTCCTCAATATATTTCTGTATTTCTGAATGGAGTTGGAAGTTAGACTCAATAGTTACAGGTCAGCCTTGCTTTGTTGCTGGTACTTTTTCCTGAAAGCATCGTATTGACTTGGCAGTCTTTAAAGAATTGTTTGATACTCATTGTCACATTTCTTTTTGGCAGGAAAACTCGACATGTGAACATCCTCCTTTTCATGGGCTATTCTACAAAGCCGCAGCTGGCTATTGTCACACAGTGGTGTGAGGGCTCCAGCTTATATCACCACCTCCACATCATTGAGACCAAATTCGAGATGATCAAACTTATAGACATTGCACGACAGACTGCGCAGGGCATGGAGTGAGTTCAGTGCTCTTAGACCTTCACATGTGACTTTGAATCCACTTAAGGATGCTTTAAAGGTCCTAATGATGGCCTCTTATGGGTTGCATATTAAGTTTCTATGCAAAGAACTAACTACTAGATAACACTTGAATATTGAAACTGTTAGTTCTCTAGTTCAGCTTTTAAAGTATACAAGAAGTAAGGTATCTGATGAGAAGTTTTGCAAATGATGGTTAACACTCAGTGATTTATGTGAATAGTGGAAGTACAGAAAAACAGGAACCCTCAAAAAAAAAAAAAAACTTCTACCACAAAAAACGCCATTAATAGTTAATAGGAAATATGTGACTATTATTTGTTGCCTTTAAATCATTTTCTCTTACATGCCTACATTTTCTACCATAAGATGGCCAGTTAATAAAGTTTTAAATGAATATCTATATCTTAATCCTTGTTGAGAACTTCAAGTTGTAACAGCTATATCTACTGAATTTTACTTCGTAACCTAAGAGATACGTTTTTTATGCTTTATACGGGTTAAAATGAACCAGGGCTAGGTGTGGTGGTGTACACCTTTAGTCCCAGCAATCAGCAGGCAGAGGCAGGCAGATCTCTGTGAGCTTTAGAACTAAATAGACTCTGTTTCAAAAAATAAAAATAAAAAGGGACTTAACTGAAAAACAATAAAATGTAAATTTGAAACTTCTATGACTAGTTTAAAAGAATATCTTAATTCTTCTGTGTGAATGGATTACTATATCATTTAATCTTTAGAATGGTATGAAGTAGATATTTTAATTTCCCTTCCACTGGTAAGGAACCAGGCGTTTCGTGTAGTAACATGTTAGGTCACATAATTAGCAAAGTTGTCTTAACACCTCTTATGCTACCTTGGCATTCTCAAATTGGAATGAGGGGTAAAAATGAATGCCTGTCCTAACAACTCTTGTCTCAAGATCAGGTACAGGAAAGAAAGGAATAAACATATCACCTTACTTCATTCTAAACTAGGCAATAACTTGCAAGCCTTTATTCCACCAAAATGCTGTTCTGTTGCTGTGAAGAGACACCATAACCAAGACAACTCTTACCAAAGAAATCATTGACTTTCGGGCTTGCCTACAATTCCAGAGGTCTAGTCCATTAGCATTAGGACAGGGCACTGGAGAAATAGTTGAGAACTACACTCTGATCTGTAGGCAGAAAAGCCTGGCTTGGGCTTTTGAAACATCAAAGTTCAGCCCAGGTGATACACTGCTAAAAAGGCCACACCCATTTTGACAAGGCCAACCCTAATTCTTCTAATCGTTTTAAATAGTGCCACTCCGTATTAGCATTCAAGTGTATGAGTCTATGAGGACATTCTTATTCAAACCAACACACACACATTCACACACTCAGCACACATGCACTAGCGCAATGGAGGCAAAGTATTATCTACTAACAAAATAATCTCAGCCTTTCAACAAAGCTAGAATTTTAATGTACTCAAATCTAAACGAGTGTATTAAAATCTTAAGAAGAAAAATCTCTGGCAGAAAGCAAAGCATATTCCTTTTCCCCAGTGATCTCTAACACTTCTGCAGTAGGCTGGCACTCTCCTTCAGCAGCTCTGTAGCTGCCCTTTTTCTTTGGAATACTGCTACCACAAATACTTTTATTTAAGATTGTCTCACTGATCACTGTATATAACGATCATGTCCCTCACTCACTTTATCCCTTTCTATATGCTAATTCTAACAGACTTTTAAAATTCTCTGTTGCTTCCACTAGATACAAACTGGGTAAGAGAAGGGGCTTTGTTTTGTTCATTGAATTATGGCTATTCCTGGGACTAGGCCCTGGGCTATGGTGGATATTCAGTATCTATCAGTAAAATGAAGAAAAGCAAGAAAGGCAATCAGACAGACAAGACATACATCCATGATTATACAAAACTGTGTATTGTTTACTGTCCAGAAAGAAAATTCAAATTCTGCTTGGAACAAAATTCAGAAATGTTTTTAAAAAATTGTTTAAAAGAGAGAGATAACAGAAAAGATCTTCTGATGTGAACAGACAATAAAAACTACTATTTATAATGATCTTGAGAAGAAAAGGTAGTGGAATGACAGGGTTAGTTAAAACAGGTGTGACCATAGGAAGGAACCTATGAAAATCAGTAACTCCAGAGTTATCAAGAAATAGGTGCTACTTTCCCATTATTTACAGTTTGGGACTGCCAATGTACCTTTATAGCCAACTCTATAACACTGCTTACCTGCTGATGCATGTATAACATCACTCTATCAGACTTGTCCTAGATTTTTGTAGCTGAGAAAGCAGTATTAAATTTTAAGCCCTCTAAGAGAGTTTACTTTTTATTATCAATTTAAAACTAATGAAGGATAGCATAATGCCTTTCCTGTTTTTTTTTTCCCCCTTTGTCCTTCCAGTTGAGATGGTAATTTGTATCTGCCTTGTGCCAATATATTCTCGTTTCTAAAGTCCTTGACAGTTGAAAACTCTGTATTGAATTGACTAAGTAGGTTTGGAATTAAAGTGACAAATTTTTTCCCCTCTGTCTTTCAACCCCATTAAAACTTCAATAAAGAAATATTTTTATAAAGACTAAACCAATCGGGATGATAGGAAGAAGACAGTAGCAACATTTTGAAGTTGGAAAGCAGGTGCAAAACTGCTGATAGACTTTAGTAAAACCAAAAAACGAAATTATTAGTTGCCAAAGGAAAAATGAAAACCATCATGTTTTCAACACAACTTTCAAGAGTCTATGCAGAGATAAGCTTCAGAAATTGACAGTCCCTGTGGTAGGGGAAGCTACTCTGTTAATCTCTCTCCTAGCAAGTGCCTCTAAGCAATTGGCAGAAAGACTGGAAGTTCTCTGGAAAGTGGGAAATGAGTATCTCTGGCTGGGGAATTCTGCAGTCTAGGATTTGGACATCTTACCAAAACAATGGGATTAGGCAGCTGTACTTATCAAATAATGCTCAGCAGTGCCGCCTATCTCCCAGCTTTTTGGGATGGGAGGGTGCAGTGTTAGGGATTAGATCTAGGGCTGATCCCTAGAACAAGTATTGTGCCACTGAGATAAATCTAACCCAGTCACCTTTTGATTCTCAGAGGCTAGCAGCCAATCCTGACTTTTCCTACAAGACAGTCTTAGGAGTCTTCACTAGAGAATCTTACCAGACCAGGAGGAAGAGAGTGCAGGGATTCTGGAGTGTGTCACTGTATAGTTCACAAACAATACACTGACCTCACTTGGTCTGAGTAAGACATAATGTCTCTGAACCATCAAGCATTAGAGAAGTCTGATAGCAATGAAAGCTGAAAACACACCGAGGTGGTGTGCACTGGAAGAAACGGATCTAGTGAAAGAAGAGATTGCCACTCTCACCAAGAGCCAAGTGTATTAGTTTCCTTTGTGAGGTTAAAAAGACTGCTCAGTGTGTTGGCACACACTTTAATCCCAGCGCTTGGGAGGCAGAGACAGGTGGATCCCTGAATTTGAGGCCAGCCTGCTCTACAGAGGGAGTTCTAGGACATCTAGTACTACACAGAGAAATTCTGTCTCCAAAAAACAAACAAATAAAAAACTTTTTCATTAAACAGTGTTGTTTCTAAAAACTTTGTTCCCAGGCATGGTGGCATATGCCTATGACCCCAATACTTGGGAGTCAGGTAAGAAGATCATCTAGTCTACACAGCATGTTCCAGGCCAGCCAAAGCAATGTTCTACCTAAAAGTCATTACCATTGAATTTAAAAATGTTGTTTAGATGTTTATACTTATAGCGTAGGAAATGGTATTCCTTTCAAATATTTTAACCTTTAAATGTTGATTTAAAATTCACAAGGAATCATATAGTTTGCTAGAATTCATTTGAGTTGTCTTCCGCAAATAACTATTATGCAGAATTCTGTTCTGCTGCTTGTGGTGGCACATACAGTCTGTAACCCCTATCAATCACGTGGGAGCTGCAGACAGGAAGTTGAGTCCAAACCAGCTTGGAATATATGGTAACTTGCCTCAAAACCATTAGTTTTTGTCTCTGCCCCATTAGTGCTGGGCTTAAAGGCATGTAATACAACATACCTGACCCATCTTTGCATTTATAAAAGTGTTGTATATATGAATATGAAAACAGGAATCAGCAGGTTTACTAGTGGTCTTCTCCAGAATTAGTATAAAGTTTAAAAACTGCAGGAGCTAACGTGTAAAACTCTGAGCAGTATTTGTTAGGGTAGGAATATGAGTGGTTTATACACTATCTTTTGGGATGATATGTCTTAATTTCAAAGTAAACTCACTACAAAGTAATAGAAAACCATTTGAAAAACTGTAAACACAAATGCCAGTAACTTACCATCTAGGTAACTGCACCTGATGGCTTAATGTATGTTGTGTGTCCTTCACAATCGTGTATGTTACTGCTGTACATAATGGCTTTCTTACTGTCTTGTAACTATGGAATTAGGATTTGCCTTCCCTTTTACTCTTTGTACACCATTACTGGTTAATCAGTTGTGTATTCTGATCACAGCTCTGCTGCATATTTACTCAGTGGCTCCTTATTTTTTTTTTGATGCCATATATTTTTGTGGTGTTTCAATATAGTATTTATGTATTAGCCATTATATACACTGCTACATGTATGCACTTACAGTGTATCATTGTTCTGTATATTTTATATGTGCTTCCTCACTTATTCTCAATAGTCAGTAAGTCAGTGTGTATAGAGAGGTCATATAACATGCCCCAGTGCGGTCCTTTGAGCCTTGGACTATGTTACTTCTCCAAATAATGCAATGCTTTCACCCACCTCAGCCCTTGATGCAGCTCTTCTTGTAGTTCACACTTCATTTACTTGTAATCTTTCCTAGACACTGCTATTCCTGTCCTGAGATCCCCAAACCTTTTTTCTAAGAATACCATCTAATGATCTTGTTAACCATTTTATTAAAAAAAATGTGTTGAACAGGAAGTAGTGGTATGCACCAGCTTGGGCCACA